CTTAACATGCAGCCTAACACCATTAGCAGAAGGGGAAGATGAAAACTGAAAGCTCAGACTCCATGGCTAATATTTCTAACGTAGCCAGTGTATTGAAAACTCAATGCACAATAGCAATAGCCTAAACATGATGTCACAGAAAATTAGTAGTGCTTCTTTACTGATTCATTTTTCCTTCATGCCATTTTCCATCATTCATTGTGCTTGCCAGCTTTGTCATTTCAGATAGCTTACCTAAGGTTAATCTTGAGGACAGTAGGAACACACATGGTAATAGTGTTTGCGGGTGGTCGTATGTGTGCTAGCAACGCTCCAGGACCCTGATCATTGTCTAATTATTTGAGAACAAAAAGTATTAAAAGATCACTCGATAAACTACAGCAGACAAACATTTGTTCATAAATAAAACTAGGCATGGCTCAGTTATATATATATATTTTTAACAAGTGATATATTTTTAACAATTAAACAAGTTTAGCTATCTAGCAGCTTTTAGACTGAAAAGCACATCCTAAATTTCCTCACAGCTCCTTTAAAATGGCAAGTGTTCATTTCTATCACATCAGGCACATAAGGCATCCAGATTATATTTTGCTGACCCCAGAGGCATGGGAGAAAACATTCGCTTGTTGGCAAATTGTTTTGTGAATAAAGGTGGAAGAGGAGAGCGAGGGAGCAAAAAAAGAAAAGTAAGGGATAATGAAGTCTCTACAGAATGTACTTTTTTTTTTTCCTCATATTAAATTAAGTAAGACTTTTCCATACTGGTGATTAGTGAAAGGCACATAAAAGGCAGTAAAATCATGTCTTTTCTCTTTATCTCTTCTTAACTCTTTCTCATGGATTGAAGCAATATTATCAAGACCAGGAGTGCTTCTTAAATATCCCTCTCATTGTGACCGAAAAGGTTTTATTCTGCTGATTCTTTATCTCAAGTGACTACAGAAATGTGCTCACCAGATCATATGTTCTTCCTTAAGCTGTTAGCTATGCAATAGAATAGCATATTTTATTATTCTCTTTAATTTCAGAGGAAATTATAGAGATATGTGTAATTACCACTTTATTGGATGGCTGCTGGTAGGGTGATATGGAAAATAGAGGTTCCTTAGCTATTTTGTAGCTATTCATACAAGTAGTAGGAAACTTTGTATTGCTTCAGCTCTATTTTCCTGGCATGAATGAGCTGCAACAGCTCTAAGCATTTCTGACAAGCATCCCATTTGTTGATATTGTTCACATCCTTAATTCCAGGATTGCAAGCAGATAAATATTCTGAAATTATGAATCATCCAGCAGTTTTCCGTCTTTCATTCTAGAATATCTTTCATTTTAACTGTGAATATGATGATTCAGAAATATTTATAACATAGGATAGCTTGTGATATTAAGCACAAAATCTTTATTCCTGTCACTTTGCTTTAGAGAATTTTTTGAAGTACTGGCTTGCCTAGGGCTTCTGTTATTTTAAACAGAAGAAATATTGCACTTCTGGGGTATTTCCATTTTTCAAACCTCTGTCCCACTTTTCAAAAGCTAAGGGAAATTTTAGAACTCCTCTGGCACATCAGTTAAGCATATAAACTTGGTGGGATGGATCTATAGTGCTTCATTTAGCTTTTCCTGTTCCTAGCCATCCTTTGTGTCCTCCATGGACGCACCCAGTAAGTTACTATGTGAAAAAGAATGTTTTTTCTCAAAATTAATTGTGAATTGGATTTCCTACTGTTTTTGCCTTAGCCCTGATTTGTGGATTGCAAAATATTAGCTCAATATTTGCTCTTAATGATTATTTAAAAAAAATAAAATATGTTTTTATACTATTTAAATGTTGAAAGTCTGGAGAGTCAGATTGAAAAAATGCTTGCATCTGAAATAGAAGTTTAAATTCCACCTCTAATTATCCACTGCTGCTGGTTTTTATTTGAATATGACTTTGGCTGAAAAAAGCCCCAAAATTTCTGTAAAATGGGCCCTTTGTAGTGATGTCCCTTAGGAAGTTAGCAAAGGTAGATGTGTTGGATAAAAACGAGTGATTATTCCATCGGTAGGGGGCATTCTAGGATTTCCACAGTAGGAAAGAAACATCTCCTGGACTGTCGAACTGCATTTGGCAGTATGTGCACAGCAATAACATCCAACACAGACTTCAAAACAGAAACAGTGGCTCTTATTTGAGGGATAAGATTGCTTACACTGCATTTTCCAAAGTGAAAAATGTCAGGTGGGACATGCATATTTCACTTCTATTGAATAATAGAGTAAATGATGACTTTCCCTGTATTGAATTTTAAGGAGAGGGGAAAAGCAATTCTTGGCTGTTTAATATTGTGAGTTCCGTTTGGTCCATACATAACCTTGTTGTCTGAGAGGAATAAAATTCAATAGTTTAAGTACTGTCACGTGTTCACAAATACCCTGCTTTCTTACCTGCCTTACCATCAGAAGATGCTTTTTGTAGTATTCGTATGGCTTGAGTCACAGTTGTGGATTTCACCATTCAGATTTGAGCAGGTCACATATTTTCAGTCAGGTTCAGCTAGTGTTAAATTAAACTCAGGACCTGGAAATGCTTCCACGTGTGTTATGCGCATGAACCTGTGAATATTTTTTCCTGTGGTAGTTAGCATGTTGGTATCCACAGTAGGTTCAAGTTATGTCTTTGGGAAACATACCATTTTAACATTGATGCAATCAGTAATGGAAACATGTATAATAACTTCATATCCCTTTAAGGTAAGTTTGTGATTTGACTAT